TGGCCGTGGCACAGATCCAAGCGGCGGCGGCGGGAGGGGGAGGTCCGGAAGGCTTCCAGTGCTTTGCCTGGAATCCATCGGGATCCACCATACCCTGCCCCCGCTGCCGCTGAGAGCCTTCCGAGCTCTCAAAGGGCTTTCTCCAATGTCGGAGGGGGACCCTTTGAGAGCTCGGAAGGCAAATGTCGGCGGTGGCTTCGGGGTCCTTCCGAGGCCGCCTCCCACCGCCAACATTTTCCCCCAGCTGAGCGGCGGGGGGGGCGGGGGGCACGAAATGCCCCTTCAAAACCGGAGTGCCTGCGGTGGCCTCGGAAGGACCCTTCGGAGGGTCCTTCGGAGGTCACCACAGGCATTTTCCCCTAGCTGAGCGGGAGCTCCCGCCACTCAGCTGGGGGGAAATGGGGCCTATGGGGAAAAATCGCTTTGCGATTTTTCCCCATAGGCAACATCGCAATGCGATCGCAAAAGCGATCGCAAAATCCGCATCGGTATGTGGATTCATCGTTAAACGGGGCACACATTATACGAGGCACCACTGTATTAACTACTGGTCATTAAGTAATTACTCATTCGTCAACTGGAATAATATATTTACATTTAATGTCTTTCTCTTCTTTCTGAAGGATTCTTCTTTACCAAGACCTTGTTGAAGTATACGTTTAGAGAGCAGGAGTATCTCTTGTTCAATCTGTGTAGTTAAGACAACTGTGTAGTTAAGACAATTTTACTACTGTGTAGTAAAGACAACCTCCTGTTCTAATCCTGTTTCAATCAGTTCTCAGTCATGCAAATCTCTGCATCTGTACATTGCTTCAAAGAGGTGATTACATAGATGCAATTCCAGCTGAAGGCAGTCTGTGCACCTTGCCAGCAGATAGGCTTGAGACCTCAGAATTTGATCTCTTTTTTTGAAAGGTGTGGCAGACATTATGGTTCATTAATTATAGGAGCTCGCAAGCTCTGTTAGTGGACATCTGGTGGTGGGTGGGTTATGAATTGCACCATTTATATGTTTGTTAGGTACTGCAGGATTGCTAAGTATGCACTGGCTGAAAAGTTCTTAATTTGTAGTGTACCGCAGCATGTTCAGTGAGTCACTGAAGAGCGGGGGTATCTGTGGTATGTCCCTCTTGCATTGAGTCCATTTTGTGACAATTCCTTCTGGTCACTGGAAAGTGGAGCTGACATGCCTTCCTAGGTGATGACTTCTCTCCTTCAGGGGCACATTGAAATAGCAACCTTTGTATCTACAGTGGTGCCTCGCTTGACGATGTTAATTCGTTCCAGCGAAATCGCTGTAGAGCGAAAACGTCAAACAAAATTAAAAAACCCATTGAAACGCATTGAAAACCGTTCAGTGTGTTCCAATGGGCTGAATACCTGCTCGTCCAGTGAAGATCCTCCATACGGCGGCCATTTTTGGTGCCTGTATAGCGAGGAATCCGTCCTAGAAAACAGCGGGGAGGCCATTTTGAAACCCGACGATTAGCTGTTTGCTGGTTGTCGTAAAGTGAAAAATCGGTTCCCGAAACATGGAACTGATCAACGTGAAGTGAAAAAACCCAACCTAAACATCGTTTTGCGATCGCTTTTGCGATTGCAAAAACTTCAACATTAAGCGGATTCGTCGTTAAATGGGGTAATCATCCAGCGAGGCACGACTGTATATGCTTTCTCCTAGCTGAGAGTTTTTCTCATCCTGTTACGGTTATTAGTTCTGTCTTCAGAGCCACTGTTCGTTGTGCTGCTGATGAGTGAGGCTCTCATAATTCAGTGCTTCTCTATACCTTTAAATTCTCTCAATAGAGAAAGCTAGATGACAGTGGGAACAGTAACTGACTCCCTCTGGTGTGTGTGTTTGTGTGTGTGTGTGTGAGAGAGAGAGAGAGAGAGAGAGAAGAGAAGAGAAGAGAAGAGAATGGACACTCTAGTAATAATTAAGTCTTTTCGCGAAGATGGGTCCGGAGTATCAAGTCCAAAGTAGATTTTATTTTTGTTAACTATGTACAATAACATTTAACTAAGTTATTGTATTTTTTATTTTATCCTTAAGTCTAAAGTAATCTTTATGATCGTGTCAGCTAATTTAAAGAAATAAAGAAAAGAAAAACAGTTCTGTGAGTTACTTTTCACTCCCTGTTCCCTTTTTTGCCATTGTTAAGGGCTGTATATGTACTATGTGCTAGATACAGTCATGGCCAAAAATATTGGCACCCTTGCAATTCTGTCAGAAAATGCAACCCTTCTCTCAGAAAATTGTTGCAGTTGCAAAATGTTTTGGTACTCACATGTTCATTTCTTTGGTTTATGTTGGAACAACACAAAAAAACAGAGAAGAGTCAAATCTGATACAATCCCACACAGAAACCCAAAAATGCACTGGCCAAAATTATTGGCACTCTTAACTTAATATTTGGTAGCATCCCCTTTTGAAAAAAATAGCTGAAATCAATTGCTTCCTGAGTTTCTTACACCTCTCTACTGGAATTTTGGACCACTCTTCTTTTGCAAACTGCTCCAGGTCCTTCAGATTTGAAGGGTGCCTTCTCCCAACTGCTGTTTTGAGATTTCTCTGCAGGTGTTCTATGGGATTCAGATCTGAAGTCATTGCTGGCCATTTCAGAACTCTCCAGCACTTTGGAGTGCTTTTTGAAGTGTGTTTCAGGTCATTGTCTTGCTGGAAGACCCATGACCTCTGATGGAGACACACCTTGCTGACACTGGTCACTATTTTGCGTCCCAAAATTCTTTGGTCATCAGATTTCATGATACCATTCACACAGTCAAGGCATCCAGTGCCAGTAGCAGCAAAGCAACCCCAAAACATCTTTGAACCTCCACCATGTTTGACTGTAGGGACTGTGTTCTTTTCTTTGAATGTCTCATTTCTTTTTCTGTCATGATCTCCTTTACCAAAAAGCTCTACTTTTGTCTCATCTGTCCACAGTATGTACTCCCAGAATGATTGTGGTTTTGTCACATAAGCTTGGACATACTCCAGTCTTGCTTTTTTTATGCCTTTGTGTCAGCAGTGGTGTCCTCCTGGGTCTCCTACCATAGGGTCCCTTTTCATTCAGATGGCAACGGATAGCGCGAGCTGACACTGTTGTACCCTGTGTTTGCAGATCAGCTTGAATTTGTTGGGATATTAATCTGGGTTCTGTGTCCACCATTCAAACAACCCTTCATTGTAATTTTTCAGGAATTTTGCTCTTCCATCCACATCCAGGGAGGTTAGCTACAGTGCCATGGGCTGGAAACCTATTGATTATATTGCACACAGTGGAGACAGGAACATTAAAATCTCTGGAGATGGACTGGAGCCTTGAGGTTATCAATGTTTTTCCACAATTTTTTTCTCTCAAATTCACAGATAACTCTTTACACTTCATTCTTTTCTTCATGCTCAGTGTCACACACAAAACAAAGGTTGAGCCAAATTTTCTCCATCTTAACTGGTTGCAAGTGTGATTACTATATTGCCCACACCTCTTACTTACGACAGATGTGTCTAAATACAAATTTAAGAAGTGTTACATGCTTAAAAAGCAGTTATTTCTTACAATTTAGACGGGATGCTGATAATTTTGAACAGTGCATTTTTGGCTTTCTGTGTAGGATGGTATTAGATTTGACTTTTCGTCTCTGTTGGGGTTGCATATTCTGGCAGAATTCCAAGGGTGCCAGTAATTTTGGCCATGACTGTATGTGTTCCGACCAGAAATCCTGTTACATGATCATGTAAGGAGAAGTTGCAGAAGCTGTCTCTCCTCTAGCGGGCTTTGCACAAGCGGTCACACACAGGTTGCAGAATTTTGTGCAGTGCCAATGCTGTGGAGGGCAGTCTGCTACAGAAGAAAAAGGGCTTATGATTGCTTGCTTAAATGTGTATTTCTTAACTGTATTTTGGCCCTTATCTGTTGGGAAATGTGTAAGCAGGACCCTGCCTGTATTGACATGTATGTAAGTATTTCCAAAGATTCAGCCCCCCCATCCAAAAAATCCTTTTAGGTTCTGTCTGTGTTAGAAAACTAATCTACATTTTTGATTACAGCGCCCTTAGCTAGCGTCTGGCAAGCCTTTTTAGTGACTTTTTTTTAACTATTTGAGAGGTTTTGAGCGAGAAAAGAAGGCTAGTTAGAAAAATTCTTTCATATCTACAGACATTCTCATCAGAAACCTGTTCTAAACAGACGCTATTCTAAAAATGGGACATGCTGGTTGCTATCCATTTTGAATTTGGTGTTTTCTGGTTTTGGTAATGACGACATTACTTTTACATCCTTTTGACAATCATTTTATTAGAAGAACAAGAAGCTAATAACGTACTGTACAACAAAATGTTGCAGAATTAAACTTAATTATAATAATGTGAATGTAGGAAAAACGCATCTGAAGATTGTTGAAAGCTGGTTGCAGTTTATGATATAATGGGTAAAATGTGCATCCTTGGCCTTCCTACAACCTTTACACCAGCAGATGGCGGGTGTAAAGATGTCACTCATCATTTATTTACAATGGGCTTTATTTATCCTAGTGTCAACAGCTGCCCCCGGGAGGGAGTTATTGAATTCAAATATGAAGAACTGGGCTATTTGCTGGCTTTCAAATTTATCTTTAGAGCTTAGTTGCTAGGAGTCCATTTTGTACTCTAATAATGATTCATGTATTGTGAAACCATTCAGTAAATTGAGTTGTCAGGGATTGCCAGAAAAGGTTTAGAGATCTTGTTCTTGATTTTTCTCTCCATTGATGTTACGCTGTAGATTTTAAAATATGTGAGTCTTCTTTTCAAGAATTAGTGAGGATTCCCCCCTCCTCAGTTGAAGTGAGAAACTTTGATACTCTCTTCATATGAAAACACAACAGGCCAAATGAACTATGAATTTTATTTTATTGCAGGCTGGACAGGAGTCCTTCCGTTCCATCACAAGGTCATACTACAGAGGAGCAGCAGGGGCTCTACTAGTGTATGACATTACAAGGTGAGAATCTTGTAGATTAATGTAAAAAAATTCTGTCAGCTTTATGTGACATTGAAATCTCTCAAGGTTTAAAGCACTTGATCCTTGGCATTAAGGCCAACAAAAGTGACTTCCACTACAGACTTGTCCAACAGTAGTCCAGTGTACAAGTTCTGGTAATGTTAGAATGTGAAAGAGAAATGATAAAAACAAGCTTGATGTTGAAGGCTTGGGTTAAAGATGGAATCAGAGTCTGAAAAGAAAAAACACACACGTAGGCTGAAATCCTGTTGTTTGGTGTACTAAGTCGAGACTAGAGTAGGCCTATGAAACAGTGGGGATTTGGTAAGTGGACAGTTCCACAAATTCCATTGATTCAATGGGCTTCATTTATTTGCAAATTATTATACTAATCACAGGATTTTAGCTGCTTAGTTTAATAAGGTTTGTTTCAGTAATGGGAAGAACACTGGAATTACTTTCATTTGGAATTATCCCATAATATAAAATGTGTATGTTTCATTTTATTTTGTTTAGAGTTGTTTTACTTTTATTCAGCTGATCTTATGTTAATATAGACAATTCTGCACATACAACACTCTTTTGTACACCTAAAATATTGAAATCCTATCTGCGGTCACAACCCCCTCCATCCAGTTATTTACACAATGAAAGTTTGTCCTGGTGCATGAGGCCTTCCATTTAATATGGATGTACAGGGAGTTTGAGTAGGTCAAGGAAGCAAAAACAATGTCATTGGCAGACTAGAGTCTTTTATGAGTCTGTACTCATAGCAGATTTACCCAGGATGGAATAGTGAAAGCTGAGACAACAGATTAAGAGGGATCCACCCTCTTCAGGCTTAAACATCACATCAATAGAAGAGAATGGACAGTTGCAATGGTGACTGGGGCAAAGAAATTCCTGAATGGCAGCTGTTGGATATCAGCAGTAGTGAAGGCGGCAATGACTAAAGATCTTCCACAGACAATAGCAGTGGTGCTCAAGCTAACCATTAGTACATCATGGAAGGCTGCAATAGTAAAATACTTCTGAATATAATATACCTTGAAAACCCTATGATGAGAAAATAAAAAATCGAAACAAGAGTTAGAATATGAGATTCTCACGTTGGAAGCCATTCATACCAGCTACTGAGGAAAGTGGGGAAAAAAGGTTGAATAGCCCTTATAAAAGCAGTTAGATTAATGCTGAAAGGACATCTAGTGGCCGATAAGCATAGAGATAAGAGGTAAGTCTGATGCTGCACAACACATGAAGTTGGAACATAAAATAAAGGTATACAATACCATAAAGGAAGAAATTGAACATTTAAATATTGCAGTACTTGGTGTGAGTAAATGGATTGGAATGGGACATTTTTAGTCAGAGAATTACAAAAAAATTTACTCTGGAAATTATAAAATCAGAAGAAACAATGTGACTCTTAATACTGAAGCTAGGTGTAGTACAAACAGTTAGGGACTATAATACATTTTCTGGCTGAATATGACATCTTGGAAAACTTACTAACATAACCATTGTTCAAGTCTATACTCCAACTACAGATACAGAAGAAGAAATTGAAAACTTATGCAAGTGTCCATGAGGAAATGGATCACAAAACGTAATAGGATATGCTGCTGCTTTCTTCCTGTTCCATGTCAAATGCATCACAGTACAATTAAATATAACATAATTTTTGCCTAGTAAGAGCAACATCAAGAAATTTGGGGAAGCTAACATGAAGTCTTCTATAGTACAGGTTTAGGGGCATAGAGTACATTGACATATGTGTGCGATAATCTATTCTTTGCTCTTGAAAAATACTGTATTGGTGCAGAAACCCCATTTTCTTAGGTTCACTTGGGTTCTGCCAATTGCAGTCATAACCTATTAAGTGATTTTGAAGTAATCCAGTTCTCCGTATGACCAGGGGCTAGATTTTCCTGCGGTTCCATCCATTTTAAAAGGTGGGTAGTTACTACTTCCACATTATAGTCATGACATTTTGTGCTGTTACCTCAAGTTTCACAAATACTCTGAGGGGAAAAAATCCTTGATCTTGGGAAGAGCAGGATGGTTACCAAAGAGTGTATATGCATCTGATGTAGATGCTTTGATTCTTTAATTGTTAACTGCTACCTCTTTCAGTATTTCACTGGATGCAGTGCCTAAGTAATTGACTTTATCAGTACAGTTAATTTTAGGCATTCAATAATGATTGTTCAGCTTTCGTTAAATGCTATATATGTCTGTTTTGCATGGGTTGAACTATACAACACTGGGCTGGTGTGTTTGCCAGCAGAGCAGCACAAAGCTAAGGCGGTAGCTCTTTGTGTTTGTTTGCCCAATAGTTTTCAAAGAACATTGTTCCTTTTGCTTTGCATTTTACAGTGTTTCTTACAGATCAGCATACAATCAAAAAGTAGCACCTATGTTTGCTATGTGCCATTAAGTCAAATCTTAAATCTAACCCAGCATATAGAATATGGTTTTGAAACGCATAAAATAACTGGAGTGGCATTTGTTGACCTTACAGCAGCCTCTGATACTAATCACCATCGATTGCTGCTCAAAAAAACTCTGCCTTTTTACAAAAGGCAATGGACTAACAGAAATGTTTGTTTGAGTTTTATATCGCCCATCTGTTTTCTACTTGAAAACAGGAGATCCTTTTTTTTCTTTCAGGGGAAGCATAATTTCTGGAGAAATGCAAGGGAAGGTCTCCCACAGGGTAGTGTCCTGGCACCATTACTTTTTAACATTTACACAAATGATCAATCAACAACCCTATATTCCAGAAGTTTCATCTAGGCTGATGGTCTTGCCTTGGCAGTCCAGGGGGAAACTTTTGGGGCCATGGAGCACTATCTAACCTCTGCATTAGAAGATCTTTCCTTATATTATAAAACAACCAGCTGAAACCAAATGCTTTAAAAACACAGGTCTGTGCTTTCCAGTTAAAGAATATAGAACTAAAGAGGAAGCTCTGAGTTAGCTGGGAAGGCGAGTTTTGAAACATTTGGGTGTCACTCTGGATCAAACTCTGACCTACAAAAAATGTCTAAACACCAAACAGAAAGTTGCCACCAGGAATAACATACTTAGGAAACTGGCTGGATCAGACTGGAGTGCACACCCACAAAAAATAAGAACAACAGCTTTGTCCATGTGCTACTTGACAACAGAATATGCTAGTAACGTAGTACAAATCAGCCAAGTGGATGTAGCTCTTAATGAGTCATGAAGGATTATTAGTGGCTGCCTGAAACCTACGCGCATCGAAAAAGTATTTGGCAGGACTTGCCCCTCCGGAAGTATATTGAGAGGAGCTAGCTAGCATATAATGAACAAAATAAGGTAATACCGCACCAGGCTCATACACCTCATGGACACCAACGTCCTAGATGATGGCTAAAATCAAGGAAAGATTTTCTGCACACTTATCAAGCTCTAAATATTAAATCGGGAAACAGGCTAAACCTACGGAGAACAAAAACAAGACATCTTTCCAAATAGATGAATGCTGGAGAGTGTCTGTCTTCAGGGCAAGACTAGCTAAATCATCTGGAAGTCACTTAATAGACTTCGAAGTGACGCAGAAAGATCAAAGAATAATCAAGTAAAATGGGGCTGCTTGGGTACAAGAAAAAATTCTTTGATTGTGGAGAAAGTCAATCAAAACAGCACTTAGGTGCATGCAGTTTATTTCCCACCACATGTACAAAAATAGTGTAGCATTCCAATTTATTTTATTAATTTATTTTTATTGTATCTATCATATACATCCATAATTTTAAATTTTGCAATGTTCTGAAAGAAAGAAAGAAAGAAAGAAAGAAAGAAAGAAAAACTGATTTATAGTGACCCTAATAGATTTCTCAAGGTAAATGAGGTATTTAAGGAGTTGTTTTACCAGTTCCTTCCCCCGATGAATTTCCATGGTAGAATTGGGGAATCAAATCCAGATCTCCTGAGTCCTAGTCCATTACTCTATCCACTGCTCATTGGTGGGTAACCTAGCTCATAGGTACTTGTAGGCAGAACAGGGATCTAGTTAACCTGACGTTTCTGGGATGCCTGCAGTGTATAGCCTGCATAATTCAATTGTAAACTGCCCAGAGAGTGCTTTAAGCACTATGGAGTGGTACATAAGCATCACACTTTACTTTTGCTTTGCTTATTTCTTAGATGAAAGGTACATATTTAAGTCATAGCTAGGGTTAGGTTTAAGTTGGTTTATATCAAAATTTATTCTGTGTTCTTCCACAGGATTTGTAAAGAGATGTTCTACCATCTGAAAACTAACGGAATGGCAATGCAAGATGGTCAGCATAAATAAAACTGTTGGTTTCTTGAGGGAAGTGGTTAGTCAATGATGTAGATGTTAAATAAAATAGTATTGCCCTGGGATGGGCCATTCTTTTGAATTCTCTAGCAGCTGCATTGTCCTTGAAAGTTAATGAAAAATCTATGATTCTGCAAAAACCTTGCCATAATTTTAGTTAAAAATCGTGGGTTAGATTATAAAATGTTTGCAGTAGTATTTGCTGGTGGATACTGATATGGGCAGCTGAGAAATTAATAAAGGCTATCCCAGTGATCTTCCTAGTTTCAAAGCTGTCCTCAATATGTTGTGTTATATGACAGATTTGTACAATTCTTCCTAGGTCTAACACCATACTGTTGTGGGATGAGGGGTGATTCCACTAGTTCCATTAGATGTTAAGAATCGTTCTTTATAGAATTTCATAAAGATCAGAAAGTAGTCAGATCAGCCTGAGGTTTTGAGGGTCTGTGAGTTCTTTACCAGGTTTCAAAATAGTAATTACTTGTCCTTTTCTTCAACTATTCAGAATCCTGAACCAAGTAAAGAAAATTATTAAAAAAATAAATAGCCATTTTTATGTTACTGTACTAAAATGTTTTCTTCTATCTCAAAAAGTGGAAAAGGTACTTGTCTAAAATGAATGCATGAGAAGAAAAAGTGTGGAAATTATTAAAGTATGTTAACGACA